GTCGCTATTGTCAACGGTCGCCAAAATGTTCAGGATTTAATAATGAACGACTCGCTTTAGATAAATAATTACTTTAATACAGATCGATTAAATATATAAGTAATTTCTTCGAGCACGACACCTCTGTCGCTGACCAAATCTGTCTGCGAGCCGATCGGGGCGCGGCGGCGGTGCGCCCGATCAGCTGTGTGCGTCCCCCGCCCGCCGCGTCTCCCGCCGCTGTGGTCCACACGTTAGATGCGTGAACACCTTATTTCCAATGTTTAGAGATTAATTTTGTATGAACAAATGTAGGGGATTATTTTCAACAATTTTCAACAGTATAATTACTTGGTACTTATATTGACTGTCAAAGTCAAAGCATTCCTCGAATAGGCACTATTGAAATGTCAAATTGAATTGTTAGTGAAGCTAAGCGTCCGAAGTGTAGTTTCGAATGGAGAAGAACGAGCAAGAATCTCCATCGTTACTCTTTTCGAAAAAATGATTTTACTATCTTACAAATACGTTATATGATTTTTACCTATTGTATATATATGTGAGGACAACGTAACGACAATACAGTGATTGAGAAGTTAAGTTGCGATATTGGTGTTACCCAAAATGTACAAGTAAATACCTAGCACACACAGATTTAACTAATTTACGAAGCAGTATGGTGGTGGTAGAACGCAAAAAAGACTTAAACTTTTTAAGCTACGATTTTCCGCCTGCTCTCGTGAGATTGAGGTTACGGTTACCCAATTACCCCGCCGTCCTTCCCCAATCTCTCCAATCCCTGTATCCCAAAAATCTTCAAATTCCTAATCCCCAAAAGGCCGGTCACGCACTTGTAACACCTCTGGTGTTCCAGGTGTCTATGGGCAACGGCGATTGTTCACCATCAGGTGATATGCCAGTTCTCTTATGAAGCTAAGTCCATATTGTCCAGCAGAGGAATGTCAAGAACTGTTCATAGCTGTATTGTAAGAAATAAAATTGACCAAACGTTTATTAAGGGAGAAAACCAAATTATTTTTGCACACGCTTTAGTAAAAGACGTTTGCAAATTTTTATCATTTCCTTTAGGTATCAACTTTAATATTCTTGTCTAGTTGGTTCTTGAACTAGTTTTATCGTAATAATTTTATATATAATTTTCATATATTTATGAATTAATTTCACATATCATGATTAAAATATAATTTATAGCAATATTTGTGTTTTTATTATTATGCAAAATTGTTTAACGCTAAGATATGTTTTGTTTGCTATCTAAGACGTTTTTATCTTTACCTTGCGTCAATTAAATAATCTGCAATGTTTATGTAATAATTAAGAAAATAATTTATGTAAAAATAACGTCAGAGATAAGACTGCAATGTAAATAAAACGGGACTGACTGGCTGACGATAGCATCTCATGTTATAGGGAAGGTAATGTTACAAATTGTTAATTAATTATTTTTTCATCATCAGCCCTCAAGTGTTCATTGTAAAGATTAGAATACATTTAACAATAACGGCTCCAATCCAGCGATTTCTTTTTTTTTCTTTTTGGCAACTGAGTCTCTAATACAGTGTTGTCGACTATATTGCCAGTGTCGAGTGGTGACGGCAGATTATTGGGCGGTCGAACTGAACTTTGTGGTAGTTTTAGTTGTTAGTAACTTACTAAAACTAATACACACACAATTTAACAGCACAATAAATAAAAGATTTCAATTTAGATCACTAAAATTGATATCGTATGACCGATAAAAACACGTGCGTAACCTTCACCACTACCAATGAAAGTCCCGGGAGAACTATATCATCAAAACAGTTGTTTTCATCCAGCGATTTACTTGTCATCTAGAATATTACATCTTATGTCATATGACAAATTTCATAACGTCAATGTATAAAAAGGTTGCGCGCCGCCCGCGCACATCTCGCGCGCCGACAGCGAGCTTACATACAAACTTTTTGATTTGTTTTCTAATCAATAAACGCCGTGCTTGTTATGCTTGTGATGACCTTTAGACTATGGGCTCTTGCCATTATCTTTAAGCTTGGCAGGCAGGTTGGAGATACTCAGATTGATCAAAGATAGAATTTGGCTGATACTAATACTCCAAATGATACCGAAGTGTGGATGGTTAAAAATATGACACCAAGACCGTGGAATGATCTGTCGTCGGCGGTATTTCCGAACCGATACGACCTTCAAACCTTAAAGAAAAGAGCGTAGTCCGTTTTAAAAGGCCGTCAACGCACATGTGATGATGTGTCCTCTATTGTTGCGGGTGTCCATGAGCGGCGCTGATCGCTTACCAGCAGGTGATGATGTGGCCATTACAATTTGCTATTCAGTTTGACAGACAGAACGGGTTCATGGAATTCTAAGAACTTATTAAGTTGATATCTGCCAAATGAATCGTAACAGAATGTTGTTAAATATTGAAATGTGACTACAGCTGTCAGTTAGTTGATAAGACCCATCTACTAAGTAAATGATCCCTATCCTATTGACAGAATCCTGCGAGAAACTGTTATAACATCACGCCTTATATCCTCGAAGGGGTAGGCAGAGGTGCACATTACAGCACTAATGCCACTGGACAATGTTACGCCCACTTTTTACTATTTATATATTGAGTCCCATGTAAAAGGGGGTGAGCTTATTGCCATTTCCAGACTCCGTGCTACTGCTGAGAATTGATTAAAAAACCCAGTAAGGCAATACTTTGCCTGACCCGGGAATTGAAACTGAGATACCTTGCCCGGCAGTCGTACTTGGGATCACTCGGCCAACGAGGCAGTCCTATAACTTAGATAGTATATGTATTTAAACTTATATAACTCGTTAACTAAAAATCGCGGATTATTTTTAATGATTTTTAGTTAATTTAGTATGTCTCACAATACTTATTTTGCATACATACATACATAACTTTACGCCTGTCTCCCATGTAGGCAGAGACTATGGAACGCCAATTACTGCGATTCCTACATACCTCTTTCGCTTCATCAACAATCATCCATCTTTTCATGCATGCTTGTTGGTTAAAAGTACTTTTAAAGGGTTTTCGCGTCATAAGTAAGTGGCGCTAGTATGTGTTTAGGTCTATTAGGCAATTAAATATTTGATAGAATAGTTTGTAGTTAGTTAAGCCGATTGTACTAAAGAGATATCATGCCCCACTATGCCTTGTTCGCACTATGCTAGTATTTTAGTCAAGTGGCGAGTATTTAGTAACTCTCTCTCGCTTCGATTTTGGGACAAAGGCGAGACGGATATACTAAACACTCGTTGCTCGACTAAAATACTAGCATAGTGCGAACAAAGCACAACGCCACCTCGTGAATGCAAAACTGAATAGTGAATATCCTTGTTGTTATCATTGGTAAAAATATATTTAGTAGAAATGGGAATACAATGACTGTTACATTATTATCAACATTACAGGTAATCTTCTAAATCAAACAATGAATTGACAATATTACAAAGTTACGCAACTCAACGCAATGTCTAACTCTTTCACACTCACACGATGATACGAGTACATTATGCACACATGACTATACATTAAGGCATAAAAACCAGTATAAACTGATCGTCGTATGTGCGGATAGGTATACAAAGCGAGACTACGATAAATTGGTTTTGTATAGCTTTATTTGCATACAATCGTTTCGCTGAGAGAAATAGTGCAGGCATTGGGTATCTTATTTTTAATACGGGTTAAAAGAAAGAGGAAAGAAGAAGCTGATAAAGGAGATTGTCAGTCAACAGCTTGTGAGCGTAGGTATCCTATCGAATTTACGCACGCAATTTTGGGTTCTCCACAATCAGCATCTGACTTAATTAGTTTTTTTTTATCGGATAAGCCGGTAAACGAGGAGACGGATCACCAGATGGTAAGCAATCGGCGCCAATGGACACCTGAAACACAGAGGTGTTATAAGAGCGTTAACGGCCTTTTGGGTGTTTAGAATTTGAGGATTGTGAGGGGTTCGGGGATTGGGGAGACTGGGGAGGGGGAACTAAATCACATGCATAACCAAACCTAAACTGTTGTTAGATGGAAGTCTAAAAGCTAACCATACTCACTTTTGTAATACAATATGTATGAGTATGAATTGAAATAATGAAACAAGCCGTCTACCAGACATGTTTGGATACTAATCGAATATTAAACAAATAAGATAGTACGCTATCTGTTCGGTCACCACTATCTATTGGTTGCTGATGACGTTGAAGATGTCTATATTTGCACAGGCAAGGTAATCAATAAAGGACTTACTTACCTTGATGTTTCTGTAACACGTCACTTCTTAAGACCTGACATACTTAGATTCAATCATAAGTCAATAGGCTACTTTTTATGTGGTACAGGATATCATATAATAAGTAGCTTAAGGAAACGAGCAGACGGGTTAGCTGATGGTAAGCAATCGGCGCCGCCCAAGGACTCACGTGACAGCAGACTTACAAGTGCATTACCGGCCTTTTAGGGGGTTGGGGATCTGAGGACTTTTTAGTGCACAGGATTCTAGACCTTCTAATCCAAGTCAAATGTTATTGACTTCCAGTAATAGTATAGTGTGAGAAGTCGTGAAGGTACATACATTCCCACTGGGGAATAACAGACGAGGTCTAATAAAATAAGAGTAAATGTTGTAACTCGCCTAATTTAATTTTTAATCCGCTTGCACGATAAATTATTTCATATGTGATGTCATACAAAAACCGAAAATTGATTCAAAGTAATTGTGTTATAATATCTTAAGACATAAAATTGAGGTATGTTATTGAAAAATTATCAACGTCCTTGATTTGAGTATCACCTTCAACCTTAGTGTTCTAATTATATACTCTACGGCTACATCTACAGGTAAAATAACGTTTTCGAAGCGAACTCCTCTGATTATTGTTGTCATTAAAAAGTAGACACTTCAAATGTATTGCAATGTCAATGCAATTGTCACATAAATAGGATTCAGTGTAATTTATATCAACTCAGTAAACATTGGGAAATGGTGAAGAAGTTTGGCATAGGAGGCAAAACTAGTGTTCAGGCTGACGTCATAGTACTAGGATGTACCCTACCAGGCATCGTAGCGGCACACAAACTAAAGAGGAAGTTCGGGGACTCCATGGACATCGTAGTGCTGGACCTCGGCTCCACCTTCAATTATCAGTCCAAATGCAATGTAGCATTCACAGAACAGAGCGATTCAGATTCAGACACTGAAAACACTAACAACACCATGTACTATAACTACACAGCCCGACAACTGCTAGACAACGTAGCCAGGATTTACCTCCTCCAATACGCCAAAGAATTCAAATTACCCTTACCAAAGTCCATTATCAATCCCGAAGGTCTAATAAAATCAGAACTTGACGAAGATTCATCTAGTTTATCATCAGAACAAGAGGATAGGATTCCATTACAAAAGCTTTTCCAATATCCGAACGGTACTACTGTAGAATTTTTGAACAATCTTCACGATTTTGAATACTTGAGTTTTTTAGAAAAGTTTGAATTAAATCAATATCAAACGTTTTTGGATCAATGTATGAGTGAGCTGTTTCAGACAAATAAAGTGAATCTAGAGAAAGAGAGGAAAGTGTTACAGTACTACGATCGGACCACGATGGAGAAAAATATTTGCGAGACACTTCTTTTTTCAACTTCAAGAGAAATAATGAGAATTATCGTAAGACTGGTCTGTGGAGCTCCAGCTAAGAGAGTATCGCTTCTTTTCTACCTCCACCAGTGTTACAGGACGAGTAGTTCCAAGAACCACCTCGGCGGATTGAACACGAGGTTCCGAGAAAAAATATTAGGCCACTGTAGAAAACGTCTATCCAGTAAACTTCAAAAGAGTGTAGCTAGCATTACGATGCAAACTAAATCTATTAAGCAAATCCGCACTTATTCCGAACAGGTCATTCTAGAAACTTTAAAGGGTGAAATAACTTACACTTGCAATTTACTAGCGATGGCTCTACGACCTGATCAATTACATAATATTACCGTTGAAGATCGATTAATGTCTGAAAAACAAATAAAAATGACCAAGGATTTGCAACCTGGCTATGCCAAAAAATTTAATATACTATACAGGGAGAATTTTTGGAGTAAACAAGGATACAGCGGGGACATATTTAGTATGCGTGGTCCAATCATTTGGGCGATGGAAAGGCCAAGAATGTCAGCTACTGGGAGCTTAGAGAAATACTCTGGACTAATTGGTTATTTGATGGTGCGAGAAAATGATACTGGATATGAATCCAAAGCGGATGTCGTGGAGCAGCTAGTGAAATTGTTCGGGGAAGAAGCAGCCGATCCTGTAAGTTATAGAGAGACGCTTATAGCTGATGTGTATGTACCTAGTTGTGGGGACTATACTTCTTTACGCAAGTTGATGACTGAAGGGAGCCCAAAGTATTTAGAATGGGGAGCGCTAGATGTGTTCGCTGACGGGGATGTCGCGGCAGCGTTAGAAGCTGGTCACGTAGCGTACTTACACTTGTTAGGGTGCTTGCGACCGCAAGCACAGACGTTTGACGACATCGTGGTTACTGATTGGCCGACGTTCCTTAGCGAGAGTCCGCTTACCAGGTGGAAGTCGCAGATAAATATGATTAATGGCATTAAGATCACCATGTTCACCGTCGCCGTGGTCGTCGGCATCAAACTCCTCCGTTCCTTGCTCACTAAATAACCTGAACAGTTGTTTTGTACGACTTTTTGTTTTATAGATATGGTTTTGTTTTAATAAATTGTTTTATTTTGTTATTTTCCTGTTCTTCAATTGAAAGTTTCAGCTAACTCTGCGAAATGGTAATGATTTTTCCCCGTGATAAGATTCAGACGTCGTTAAATCGTAATCTCAGGTTGTTGTGGAGAATATGTTTAACGCAAAATATCGTAATTTCGTGTAATCTGTTATCGTATTTTATCAATAACATTGTTTAATTAATTTTGTTAGGTATATTTCCTCGAACTTAAAATAAAAAATGGATAGGAAAATAATCTTGATAATAATTTCGTAACGAAATGTAAGTAGATAGACAGACAGATACTTGGTATTTGCACCTAATTGTGTAATCTGGTTGGACCAAAATACATCATCAAATTTTTTGTTTAGTAAAAAATGCCTCAATGTTTTGGGTTTTCTGTTCTGATTTTAGCCTCTTAATCCATGTTTTAACCCGTAGTACTAATACTAGGCTATTTTGTAATTTTCAATTCGTAACATCGAAGTGTTATTGGTTGTGAGGATAATCTGGACCAATGACAGGCGAGAATGTTTCGCAACAATATTTCAAGGATTTGTTCCAAATATTCCAAACAGTGTAGTTCAAAGTTAACACGCATGGTCTAACTGAGATTTCCGTCATTGACCATACAACGGCGCTCTGACTCAGGTCAATGACCGCAGTGGTGTGATTGCAATTTGTTTAAGTCACCAGCAGACGTGTGAAATCCAACAGCGTTTTTGTTCTCAATATTATTCATAAGTTTGTCTTAATTGTTTCATAAGAACTATCGATATGTTGCAATAATGGGACATGATTTTCTTTTTCTATTCCAATGATCTTAACAATGACAATACCTGCGTACTTACCTACTTTAGGACAAAATCAGAAATTGGATCTATGTCTATGATTGTCATACTCTGTAAAAGTCATTCATGAGTTATTGTAGGTAAATCTGTTGAGATTTGAGTGAGCTTTTAAAAATTTTCTTGCTTCTACGTCTATTGGATGTTTCCTATTGCCCATACAATACAATACAAATAGGTAAAATAAAACGGTGATCTTCTATAAAATAAATAACGAATACAATAACGTACAGACATCAGTTTCCATCTAATTATACATGTAAATTAATTACAAGACACTAACTATTTAATTCCAATACTTTACAATTTACATCTTAAGGACGTCGTAAATATTCACTCCGCATCCTGCCGGTGCCCGTGGACTATATAAGGGACGATTGGCCTGACCTTCATGATATCGACAAGGGCGAGGTCAGGCAATCAGGCCAAGTTCAGTCATGGTGTAACTTGATGAGTCAAGCCTACCGAGTCTTTCTGATGGACACGTAATACGGTGAAGTACTAATAATTAGATAAAGATAAAAATTTTAAGGGAATGGTGGAAATTAGTCTGAAAAGGTGAGTTATAGATAAATAACGCCTAGTGTAATATGTTTGGTGAGTTGTATATTTATAATTTGTTGCAATTCATTAATAGTAGGCGTTATTATTGAAGTTATTTTAAGAAGTAGATAGTTAAAAACTTCTCTGAAAGATAAATTACACATTAAGTTCATAAAATAATGAACTGTACAATTTAATCGATTAATTTAGTATATGTGCAATGTTTTAAAGTTTCGAAATATAAATGTAAACAATTTTCCTTATTTTCTTGTGTCTACTAGTAACACCAAGAGTAAAGCGCATAAATTCTTATTGCCTGTAGGTTTCCTACAGGCACTCGTTATTATTCTATTGTATCTGGCTGGTTGTTATTCATTATAATATCAAACAAACTGATGTAGTTTATTGATGTATAGTCGACAACATCGTGTTGGAGACTCGGTTGCCAAAGGAAGAAAAAAAAAACTTATTGATGAAAACATTTTAATTGTTAATTACGTGAAAAGAACTACTTAAATGTAGGTAGGTTAGCTATTTATTTCTTCTTGCATTATAACACAACATAATATTTGTTATGTGAGATGGATCCACCAATTTTTAGCTGGGTGTAATTTCTCACTAACCACCATGAAAAAGTACGTGACGAGGTGACATAATTGACTCACACTAACACTTATTTGTATAAAACTACTGATGTGCTCATCAGCTTTCCATTTTCATTATGTAATCCCATGGAAGCTTCTCTCCTGTCGTTTCCTCATGACTGAGGATCGTGATCACCTGTGCATCACTCTGGATCGGACGAATTGTCTCCATCGGCTCTTATCTGCGGCCATTTGTATTCTGGTGGTGCTGGCGATGCTGGGTTGCCCTTGAGCAGGGTACGTCATCTTGAAACCAATCTCAATGTCAATTCAATTTCAATTCAATAAATCTCAATAATTATACAAGGTCAAAACTATACAACCCTAATCGTAGCTGTTCAAATAGCATTCAGAATACATATTATAAGCAAACTCACTACAATTTAGTTCATTCAATATTCGCGCAATACGGATGCAATGGGCACTAGTGTTGCAACTCAAGAGTACGATATTTACAACATCAATGTCGATCGATCAGAATTGGATTCAAGAGTAAGGCGATCTCCAAGCTATCCAAGAAGCTATTCCCCCGCGTCTTGCTGTATGTCCGAAATAGGTCATGGTCCGTCGAAGGCACAAAGTGGAGAATGGAGAGGAAGCTTAATTTTTACTAAATGTTGGAACCTCCAAAGTTAACTATAGAAATAGGTTTGCATAATTTCGCCACTATGTAACCGAACTGGTCGGTTACATAGTGGCGAAATTATGCAAACCCTTTTTATGTAGGTAGAGGAGCCATGGTCCAGGTTCTAGGTGTGGACGTCACAGATTATTGACGATGATGGTAATCAAATTATAACAACGAGTACCTATTACTATCATTAGATAGTAAAAGGTAATTATACCTTATTCTTAAATCTTTAGAGCCAATCAATAAAATTGAAGACCGCTCATATGCATTATTTATAACAATTATTTTTTTCTTCACCATTTAACTGTCAACCTCTAACTACCTACAGGAAATATAAATATTTACTTCGCGACAAAAACAAAATGGCGATGTCGGAACAGGAAACGTTTTGTTTTTATTTATTGCTTAGACTTAGTTACGCTCTGGCGATCTCTAAACATCGCTTATCTTTCTTTAGGAAGAATTTATTCATGACCATTGACTCCACTTGGCCCAGTCAGCCTACTCTGACGTATCTAAATTCTGTTTTTTAGACTAAATTAGTATTTTGGTTGCTTATTTAAAGCTTTAGAGAAAATTAAGTCTTCGTTGTATAAAATAGGTAATACGGTTATAATTATATTTTTATTCAATTTAGACTGCCACATTGGCCGAGTGGTTGCAAGTGCGACTGCCGGGCCGAGAACCCTTGTCTCGGGTTCGATTCCCGGGTCGGGCAAAGCATTACTGGGTTTTAAAAAAGTCTCAGTTTAACAAAGTCTCACAATTCCTCACCCCGTATAACTTGGTACTCATAACATAAATAGAAAATACAGTGGCATAATGTGCACCTCTGCCTACCCCAAGGGGGTAAAAGGCATGATAAATATATTTTCAAATAAATAAATAAATAAATAAATAAATAAATAAATAAATAAATAAATAAATAAATAAATAAATGATGTTATGTTATGTGTTATATTTTTATCTCCCATCAAATTTAAAAACGCTCCTAATAGATTGAAAATTTTAACTATTGCATCCCTATATAATTACTTTACTATTTTCAACAGTATTTACTTAAATTAACGAACGGTGACATTCCCTCACGTAACTAAACGCACTGACCGCAAGGACCACTATACCAAGGCATCAGTAGATGGCGCTGCCTGCCATTTAATATTATGTTGTACATTATAATTACTATGGGCGATTTCTTTTGGGCCCTAGTATTATGTATACTTTTCTAACAAGCAAAAGAATGTCACCATTCATTAATTTTGACTAAAGTACCCTTAACTTAACCCACGTGCTTGTATGAAAAGACTGACGACTGTTGATGACGCAAAAGAGGTATATAAATTTATTTATTTATTATTTACTAGCTTTTACCCGCGGCTTCGCTCGCGTCACAAAAGGATAAAAATTAGCCTATGTGATATATACCAATAGACACAGCCCCATCAATGAATATCAAAATTTTCCGGGATAAAAAGTACCATATTATTTAATCCGGACTTATAACATTACGTCTGCAAAATTTCAAAGCAATCGGTTTAGTAATTACGGCGTGAAAACGGAACAAACAAACAAACAAACTCACTTTCCCATTTATAATAGTAAGGATGATAAGAATCGTAGCAATTGGCGTTCCATGTCTCTTCCTACCCCATTGGAGACAGGTGTGAGATTATGTATGTATGTATGTATCTAATACTGCATCCAATTCTACCTCTTTGGTCGTGTTGTTATAATATTTCTCATCTCTTTAGTCATAAAGCACCCCTTTTTTTATGTATGTGGCAAGCCTTCAAAAGGCGGGTAGCTTTTTGGGGAGTGTGGGATTCTTACCTTAATAAAACCACCCCGGTGGCCACCCTCAGCACCTGTAAGGGGCACCTGGTCCTCTGAAGAGACCTGCTCCGGAGCCCCCACGGTGCAACGCCTGATACAGCACATCACTAGGGTGGTCACGAAGCATTTCTAAACCACTATAAATGATAAAATATAGGACAGTAATGTAAAAGAATAGGCTCTTAAAGATATACATACAGTTATGCATATGAATTTATATATGTAGATTTATTCTGTGTCACTTAAATTAATTCATAAAACCTGTTACACCTACTGTTGCACATCTGTGCATCGCCCCATGATTGACTGTTAGAGAATGCCACCCGGCATTAAGTCCGCCATCGTATGTCATACAGAAGTGTGAATAACGCTATATATAACTTAAGAACGGCTAGACCGATTTGGCTGTTTTTTTGTTGTGTTTGTTATTGTCAGGAGAAGGTTGT